AGGCCGCCTTCCCCACCCTCCATCCTCGGAAAGAGGGGATGAAGGACTTCACGGAGGTGGACGATTCTAAATCCGAAGGGACCTTGGAGATTATCTATGCTAAATCACATGGAAGCTTCTAGTAAATGCCTGTCTGGGGCCTTTCCGCGGCGATTCCGGTGCTGTTGTGTGGAGGCGGCTGGGGAAGACTGTGAAGCTCTCCGGGTGATGTCAGCGAGGCTGGAGTGCTGACAGCCCCAGCCCCAGGCCAGGCAGGAGGGGAGGAGACCCCTGGCTCCGAAGGGCGCCAGTGCTACCTGGGGGCTCCGAGGCAGCTTTCCCCTGCGGCAGAGCCAGAGCAGGGAGGCAGCGGCCTTAGGGGAGCTGTGCACCCAGCACACCCGGGGCGCTTGCTGCACTCACTCTCACCGCCCCCACCCCCTGGCTCCACCTGCACCACGGAGGGGATCTTTGGTGGAACCCAGCACACAGATGTTGAGAAAGCCTGGGCCGTTTTGACATCTAAGAACACCACTAGCCTGGTGGAAAGGCCGCCCACATGGGAGCTAGGAAAGCTGGGGTTCAAATCTGGGGTCCATCAGGTACACACTGTGGCTGCTTGGTCAAGTACTGTGACCTCGCTGAGCCTCAGATACTTCGTCCACAAAAAGGGACCCAGCTGCAAGCTCTCCCTCCTTCAGGCATGCGGCTCAAGTCACTTCTCCGTGGGAGTCCAGGCTGAGCTTCCCCACTGCCCCTCAGACACACTGACCCCAGAGCACCCCCAACTTCTCCTTTATAACACGGACCATCCCATAGTAGGTTTAATAGGTGGGTTTTGAGTGAATGAATACATAATTGATAATGATTAACTATATGTGGAATGATTCCTCACTCTGGTGTCAGCCACCAGCATTTAAGTTCGATGAGAAAGGACTGATCTGTCATGTTTGTTGCTGCAGCCACAGTGCCCGAGTGCACCTTGCACTCAATAGACTTTGCAGAACAAACAAGTGGCTGTGCAACAAATGACTGATAGTAATGAAGCACCTGGCATGTAGCAAACATGCATCAAACTTTGGCTGTTATAAATGTCGACATAAGAAACATGCAAACCTGTAAAGAAGTTTTTATGAGTTTATTTGAGCCAAACTGACAGTTGTCAGGAAGCAAAAATCTCAATGGATTGAGAAAATGTTCCTGACAATGACAGTTTGGCAGCTTATTTTATACACTAGAGTCCCAGTGCACAAATTTGTGCACCAGTGGGGTCCCTTGGCCTGGCCTGCGGGATCGGGCTGATACCAGCTCTCTGACATCCCCCAAGGGGTCCTGGATTGTGAGACGGCAGAGGCCAGGCTGAGGGACCCCACCAGTGCACAATCTGGGCCTGGGAGGGACGCAGGAGGTTGGCCAGCCGGGGAGGGACCACAGGAGGGCTCCAGGGCATGTCCAGCCTGTCTCACTCAGTCCTGATTGGCCAGACCCCAGCAACAAGCTAACCTACCGGTTGGGGCATCTGCCCCCTTGTAGTCAGTGCACATCATAGTGAGCAGTTGAGTGGCCTTAGCATATTATTAGCATATTACGCTTTGATTGGTTGAATGGAGGACCGGATGACCAGACACTTAGCATATTGGGCTTTTATTATATAGGATTAGAATCAAAGGAGGAGCCATAAGGAGGGTTACATAGACTCCATTTTTGGCAAATTAAGGGGGCGAGAGAAAGCAGAGCAGGGAAGTCTCTGGAATTGGATAAAGGTAAAATGGAAAGACACTAATTCTTTTACATTGGTGGGTACAAGAGTTAATAATTCACATTTCAGCACATAGAGATGGTGTTTGGGGAACAAGGTAATAATGAGGGCTCTGTGGTCTCTGCTCTGGTGCTGTGGTTGTGCCCTGAGGAGTCCGGAAAATAGAAATTATCCTGATGTTCCAAAGGTCTGTTGCCTTAGATGTAGAAAGACAACAGACAGGCTCACGTAAGGTAAAGAGTGACCGTTGTCAAGGAAGCTACAGGCCTAAGACTTACTTAACTACTTGTTATGACCTGCTTTTAATTAGGAATTATGTTCAGACCATCCTATATACTTTCAGTTTGTAAGGTTTCATATTGGGTGGAGGGAAGCTAGGAAAAAGTGGCAGGCTGCCTTTGCCCACTAAAATGTGCTAGAAACCCAACTGGTTCATGCACACTCCCAGCCTCCACTGATGCAATCCACGTGCACACACACATACACACACATTTGCAGACTGTAATGGCTATTCACATGGTGTTCCTTGGTTCTCTCTTGAGAATGTTTTAGATCAGGGGTCCTCAAACTACGGCCTGTGGGCCACATCAAATACAAATATTGTATTTGTTCCCGTTTTGTTTTTTTACTTCAAAATAAGATATGTGCAGTGTGCATAGGAATTTGTTCATAGTTTTTTTTTTAAACTATAGTCCGGCCCTCCAACGGCCTGAGGGACAGTGAACTGGCCCCCTGTTTAAAAAGTTTGAGGACCCCTATTTTAGATCATAAACTCTTTGAGGGTAGTAACTATAGTTTTGGCTCCACAGTAGCTAATGACAGGTTTGTGGAGGCAACACTGTTTAGATCATAAACTCTTTGAGGGTAGTAACTATAGCTTTGGCTCTCACAGTAGCTAATGACAGGTTTGTGGAGGCAACACTGTCTTGATCCCAGCACCAGTCAAACATACACGTGATGGGGCCAAACACTGGTGATGATATCCGGATGTCCCCATTGGCCACCATGCTGTGATCTGGGGGAAGTTGGCAACTGGTAGGACTCAGAGTGGAGGTGAAATTCACATTCTTGGGGAAGGGAATTCAGAATGAGTCTAGGGGTAGATGTTTCTGGAAATTATTCTGGGTGATGCCTTGTCTCTCTCTCTACATTAGCATAGAAATCAAGAGCTTCTCAAATTTTCACTCTAATAGCTTTTGTTTAGTTAGAAGTTACTGTGCCTCGGATGCTACACCATGTGCTTTACAGACATAATTTCATTTAATTCCTTTTACTCTGAGGGTTCATAATCAGCATTGTCAGTATCTTACAGAGGAGAAAACTGAGGCTGGGATTAATTTGCTAAAGGTCACAAACACCAGTACAAGAAAAGACCAGCACTGGCAGCAGCCCAACCAGATGATTCCAGGGCCTTAATTCATTCAAAAAATATGTATTGAGCACTATTATGTGCTATGTTTGTTTTCTAGTGGCAAAGAATATATTATAAAAGTCCATGCTTTGTAAACGTAGGTTCTGTCAGGAGGAGACAAACCATAACAAATAACAAATCTAAACACTAAGTAAATCATGTGATCTGCTAGGAAGTGATAGTGAGAAAAACAGGGCAATGCCAAAAGGATGGGGGATGGGCTGGAACTATGTAAGGGCAGGGGGAAGAGTCTGTGATGCAGGTTTGCAGTTTTACGTAGGTGCTCAGAAAGGCCCCAGTGATTAAGTCACATGGGGAAAGAAGGAAAGACTTTAAGAAGGTCTAAATTACACTATGTTCATTCTGCTTCCCTAACACGAATGGATGAATAAGTGAGTACAACCACTACCAAGTAAGTACCTGCTATGGGTCAGGTGCTGCGCTAAGCACTATATCCACAATTTCCCATTGAATTTTCTTAATGATTCTATCACAAGAGCAACTTTGTTTTTCAGATGAGGAAACTGAGGTTCAGAAAGGATAAGAATATTGCTCAAAATTATTCAGTTAATAAATGATGGGGCTGGGATTTCAGCTTGACTCCTTCAACTCCAAATCCCCTGCTCTTTGACCACCACCATGCTGACGAGAAGTGGGGAACTTGGGGGCTTGGACAGGGAGGCATGGCATTGAGCCCCCCCTGGTCACTCCCTCAGGGGCAAGGCTGCTCTCCTGCTGGGGCTGGGTGTTCACAACTGGAGGTGCCACAATTGACCTATGTTGTTCCCTCCATGTAGCATCTGCCTTGTATGTCCTCCTGTTTCCCCACATGGTTTTGAAATCTACTTCTTTAACAGTTAGAGCAAACAGATGTGGAGAAGCAATTCCTGAAGAGATAGACCACTGGCATATGTCAGAACACATGTGGTTTCTGGAAGCTTCCCAGGGGGCTGCTTTTTCACATAGGAACAGTGGCACCCCAGCCACTAGAGGTAAGAAGCTAAGCATCTTTCTAGGGTGCTTTTGAAGGAACCAGTCATAGACTTGACAGTCTTGTTCTTGACTTGGCAAGCGTGGCTTTCATGAATGATCTCCCCCAAGTCTTACCTAATCTCCTCACACTGCAGTTTCTCTTTCCAATGGAAATTAGGATCTCAATGGTCTAAGAGGACGTTACTTGCACAATACAGCTCTCTCCAGCCTGTAATGTATTTGTCTCACAAGGGTAACAATGCAGTCTTGTCCAATGACATCCACTTGGACGTCTCTGAGCAAAAGAAGTGGGTCTCTTGAGACTGAGGCGTGAATGTAAATGACTGATGTGTGAGTATTTGAAAAGTTAGGAGCATCATGGAAATACACTTCGGAGATAATAAGGAAGAGGAGGAAGGATCTTTTTTTCTGGTCAGCCCAGAGTTTCACAGCCTCAGTCTACCCTTTGATCCCAAGCCAATTCCAAAGCATTGATTCTGTGCTTTGTACCCACGGTACATACATATATTGAATATTTAGATATAACAATAGCAACTAGTATTCATTAACATTTTTATGTTCCGAAAACACTGACTTGTTTAATCTCATTCAAGTGACAAAACAATCCAGTTAATGGACTGTGGTGATTTAAATCTTTTTTTCCAAATGAGAAAACTGAGGCAATAGAAGTTCAATGGCTTTCCAAGGTCAGAGATGATGAATGACAAGAGCGTAACTCAAGCCCAGGTGCCCTGAGCCAAGCTGTTATATTTCCGTCTTGACAAGGGATGGATGTTTAGTACCAGATGCATTCAGAACACTAACAGTATGATCACAATCTACCTGTTTCTGTTTATTCAGGGTCCTTTCTGTCTCTCTCCCTTCCTCCCTCCCTCTTTCTCTCTCTTTGTCTCAACTTAGATTATTTCAGGGTGAAATGTGCAGAAAAGCTTCATTGTAAGGTGGCTTGATGCAGGCATTCTGCATATCTGGGGACCTAGTGTGGGTTCTTGGCTTCACACAGGAAAGAATTCAAAGACGAGACAACACAGAGTCTAAAATGAGAGTGAGTTATTGGTGAAGAAGTGGGACAGAGAGTGGGCTACACCACAGACCAAGCAGCCCCTCTTTAGTGACATTTCCTTCCTTTATTAAGGTTAATTTAATCAGGGGTAGGCATTTGATAAGGGGGGAGAGGGATGTTCAGGATTTTTCTGGTAAACGGTAGAGATTTCTGGGAAGAGCTCCACTGGCCATTTTGTGTCCTTATGTGGGCTTTCTGTTTATGGGGTGTGGGGTGAGCTGTTTAGCATACTTATGTATTACAGTGAGCACATAATGAGCCTGGGGTTACCATAAAGTGAAATTAGTCACCATGTTGGATGGAGCTGATCTCTGTGGGTTTTAAGCCATAAATCTGGTGGGGGATGGGGATGGTCTTACTTCCTTGTTGACAGTTCCTATACTATCGATCGCAGCTGTTTCACCACATACACAATCTCAGTCTCATCTACAGTGTGATCCTGTGTTAGAGACTCCAAGAGAGACACTGTAATGAGACCTTAGTGAGGTGCTCTGGGGCTCTGAGCTGGCTACATGCCCTGGTACCTCACAGGAGGTAAAATTCTCACTCAGAGCAGCATCTAGCAAGGCCTCCCATGACCCTGTGGGCCCACACAGAGGGAGAGATGATCCAGGTCATGCAGAGTCAAGGCCAGCCCCTCATCCCCCAAGGCTCTTCCTGGTGAGTCCTTTACATTCGTCACACTGTGATGTATTTGTCCAATATCCGTCTCCCCTTGACTGTGCTATGTACAGCATAAGGACCAGGAGGACAATGTTTGCCTTGCTAACCACCATCCCCTTGGTTCACAGCACAGTCCCAGGCACCTGGTAAGGACTGGCAAATATGTGGAAATGAAGAATTGATGGAGTAACAATAGCCTAATGTCTTTTTCCCTAGGAACACTGCGTTTTGAAAGAAGATTCTAATCAAAGAAGATTCTTACCTCATTAGAATTCACATGGAAGGAGTTCCACATGGAAGGCCCGGTCTGGAGTAAGTGTGAAAAGTGCATCTTTCCAGCGTTTCTCAAATGGTACCCCATCATATGCCTTGACATTCAATCAGTCTCATCACCAAAACCAAGAGTGGCTGGACCTCAAAGAATGGGAACTTTGAGGAAGCTGAGAAAAAAAGCCTCTGGGATGTGATTTCACTTCACCCAAACCTCCTGTGAGCCTCTGGTTACTCTCTCCTGAATGCAAGGCCTACAAAAAGCGGTGTTGAGTCGCAGCCTGGAAGGCTGAGTTCTTGTAGGACAAAAATAATCCCAATCAACTGCTGGCCCTGCTGGGTCCATCTGTTATTGGAATTAAGTCCTTCTTTTCATTTTATTCAAACTGAAGAAACTTTCTGGCAAGGTGTCAGGTTTCAAACAGAAATGTCAGCCAAGGGCTCGTGAGGCCAAGGTCTGAGCAAACTTGAATCAATTTATGCTTTGGGTAAGAATTCACTTGGAATTTAGTGGTCTGGTGGGTCCATTTGTGAAATGCTCCTCATTTGCAAGTGCTGGACTAAATCTTGCAAGGAGCTGGGTATAAAGTCAACATCAGAGGCCCATGTGACTTCTACCCAATGTGAGGGTTAGCAGTAAATGGGTTGCAGGGCACACTAGAGTGATCTTCCCCAGCATAAGAGCAGAAAAGAACTGGGACATGTTCTAAGTTCTAATTTAAACCTTGCTCTATGTATGAACCAGTCAAAACTAACCCTATTGATGATAATAACAGCAAGAACCTTTAATGAATATTTACCATATACCAGGCTCTGTGCTAGATACCTTACATTTACTGATCAATTAATCCTCTTGATAATTACAAAATGGATTTTATTATTTTCTCTATTTCATAGTTGAAAATAAAACAGAGAAACAGAGCTTCAGAAACATGCACCAGCTTAAAAAAAATAACCCTCACCTGAGGATATGTTTTATTGATTTTAGAGAGAGAGGGAGGGATAGAAAGAGAGAGAAACATTTATGTGAGAGAGAACCATCGATTGGTTGCCTCCCATGGGCACCCTGGCCAGGAATTGAACCCACAACCTTTTGGTGAATGGGACAATGCTCCAACCAAATGAGGCACTCGGCCAGGGCTGCACCAGCTTTTAAGCCAGCAAAGACTAGCATTTGGACAATTTGCCTCCAGAACATCTGCTCTTAATGCTTGTCAGGAACCGACTGGGTAATGAGCCCACATGCAGGAATATAAATAAGCTCACTGCAGGTGTAGCTGAAATATCACACCCCGTACAGCACTTTTCAGAACTCAGACTCCATTTTGGTGTCAAAGATATATAAGCCTCATAGAAAAACTTGATTTTTCCCCCTCCTAGCTCTCATATAAAGAGAAAGCACTAAGATAATTAACTGGAAAATCAAGTCTCCAAGTCTTTGTACCTCATACCAGTACACTGGACTGGCCAACATTCCTCCTCATCCCATGGGATGCTGAAGACTTATTTAAATCACTTTTTTTGCACTCTTAGCATTTGGGTGAAGATACACCAGGGATTGTCTAGGATTCGGACAGCTTTGAAGATCAGCATAAAAAGCAACACAGCAGTAAGAAGAAGCCCTGATGGGGGTTGGCAGGCCTCAGCCACCCACTAAGTGATTTATGACTATACACATGCTCTTTGCAGCAGGCTTGACTCAAACCCAAACCTAATCAACAGATATATGAAAAGATGCCCAACTCCAGGAATAAGGATGGAAATGCAAATTAAATGACATTTTTCACATATTAATTTGTTGAAAATTTCTAACTTGGATAATATCAATCATAGCAACAATAAGGAGAAACGGGTACTTTCTGCTGATGAAAATATGCATTGGAACAGTCATTTTGGAAGTATTAAAAATGTACACCCTCTGTGAGCCAGCAATTCTTTTTTGGTATCTACCATTAAGAGACGTTTATACATATTCATAAGAATGTGCATTGCACCATCATTTGTGCTGTCAAAAAACTAGAGATAGCTAAAATGTAATACATCCATACCACGCAATGTTACACCAGCAGCTCATAAAACGGTAGATCTCTATGTCCTGATAATAAAAATTCTTCAGTTAAAAACCCACACAACATGGTGTCATCCAATGCTATTAACACACGCCTATGTGTACACACAATGTATAGAAAGAAATGAAAAAACACAAACTCAGAGGTGAGATTAGCTCTGGAGAAGCTCCAGGGATGACACAGTGGTCATGTGTACCACCCAACATTCACTCACTCAGCAAGTATTGTCTAGAACATTCTGTGCCAGGCACTGATGCTGCTTTGTGATCAAGAAAGCAGACAAATGTCCTTGCAACCATGATTGTTTTGTTATGTATGTTTATAGAATAAGAATGTACTCATATATAATTTGTGTAAGTAAAAATAAGTAAAAATAAAAGCAAATTAAATACACATTTTTATATTAATAAAGCAGCAAGTGACTATTTACTTTGGCTTCTGGCAGTCCTTGCGAACAGTCCCAACCATAAATCACTGCTATGGCTACTGTAATCCCTAAAGGGTTCCCTTTGGATGGTTGGCACAGACAGGGGTGCAGTGACAGCCTCGCACAGCACAGACTTGCACAGAGGTTGTTCATTCCTTCCATTAATATTCCTTGGGAGCATCATTAGGCACAAAATATGAGTAAATCCCCATCAATTATACGCATATTCACCAAAAGACATATACGGGAATGGTCTTAGCATCACGATCAAGAGCAGCCCCCAAATGGAAACCACCTAAATGTACTATACTCACACAAAAGAATACTGTATGCCAATGAAAATCAATGTATTAAAACCATATGCAACAATGTTGATGAAGCTCTCCAATATAGTGTTGAATGAAGGAAGCCTGGTACAAGAATCACCTCCTGCATAATTCCATTTCTATGACATTCAATGACAGGCACAGAGAACATACAACACTAGAAGGCAGGATACCCACTACTCTTGGCCGGGAGGAGTATACAGGGTGCATTGTGGAGACTTTGAGGAGTGCTAGAGATGTTCAGCTTCTTGCTCTGTGCGCCAGTTATGGTGAATGGTTAGTTTACAAAAATTTGTTGAGTTTTACAGTTATGATTTGTAACTTCTTTGTACGTATATTCTACTTCCTTCGATAGTTAAAAAAAAATTAAAACATAAAACCCTAAAATCCAATCTGTGTTTTTTGAATCTCATCTTTGGCAATCACATGCCTTCTCTGGACTTCAGTTTTAGCATTTATAAAATGGGAGCGGGGTTTGCTGGCTGATCTGTAAGGGCCCTTCCAGCTGTATGGTTCTGTGTATTACGTCTTCCATTCCAATTTCTGAAGCAATGGAAAAAAATTGAGAATGAGCCTTGGGTCATTTGTTATTAGAATTTATAGAAGGCTTACAATGTCACACATATCCCATTTTCAAGGCATTTGTTGTAAATTAAAGCTACAACCAATGAACCAGGGAAATGCTGTCTTCCAGGAAAATGCACATAGCTAATTCTTTCCGCAAGTGCTCATGGGATAAGTGTGAATATGCCAAATGCTGCTTCTGCCAAGCCCCTTCCTGTCATGCTAATTCATACATCCTAACTCACATAGTAAGCAAGAGACCAGGCTGTTCCTGGGAGGAAGGAGGCAGCTACCATGCTCAAGACCTACCACTGTGTGAATAGGCACTTCCTCTCTGAGGGGACTTGGTTCATGATTTTCCTCTTCTGGCCACTGGAAGTCCTTGAAAGGCAACATCACAGCTTGTACCCATTCACAACAGGAAAGTTTGACATCCGCAGATGATCTTGGCATGTGAGGAGGAAAAGTCCAGTTCTGCATGTCAGCTTCTATATTAGAAGCAGGAAATAATTTCTATGGTGTATGTAGAGCCTGCTGTATTCTTCACACGAGATGTTGGGCTCCACTAGGGAAGCTTTTCCTATTACATTCACGCCTCGCTGACATTTGCAAGACAGGGACCCCAAAGAGATACATTGTGTTAGCTCTAACCCTAAGGAAAGGTGCTTTGGGAGTGGGAGACAACCTCTGGTGAGTGAGCTCAGGTAGGGGTGTTTTCCTACCTGTTTAGGGAGAGCTGGGCCTCACATGGAGGATCAGTTCTCACAGGAATGCCAAGTCAGCAGCTACAAATAGTCAGGCACAAAACCTGATGAGGGTCTTAGGTCATCTAGATTGGTACTTCTCAAATGATCAGAAGTGAAGGACCAGTTTTATTGCTTTAATTCTAATCATTCACCTGTCAATATAGTTTTAAAAATACAATAAAAACAAAAGGACTAAAAATGGAATAAAGAGACAGGCAAAATACAAGCCCTAGTTTTTTTATTACATTACTAGTGACCCAGTGCACAGACTTGTGCACATTGAAAATAAATTAATTAGAAGGTGGCCAGTGGGGCGGGACTGAGTGAGATGGGCTGGACACGACCTGGAGCCAACCTCCTGCAGTCCCTCCCCAGCCAACCACACCTGGTATCGTGACGTGGCTAGAAGGGTGTCCTGTGGAGTGAGCAGGGTTCCTCCACCAGGTGGGGTCCCTTGGCCTGGCCTGCGGGGATCGGGCTGAAACTGGCTCTCTGACATCCCCTGAGGGGTCCTGGAGTGCGAGAGGGCACTCTGCAAAGTTGCTGTTGTACAGGGTGTGGAACGTAAACACAAGTGTGCAGTTTCAGGGCTGAATGTGCCCAGCAACAACATAACCCACAGCCGAAGGTGGAATCACACAGCCCTGCAAGGAATCAGGCTCCCTTCTCTCTGGTTTCAGGGTGTGTCACCCAAGAACCGCTGCTGCCAAGTCACTGCAGCTCGGCAGCTCCTGCATTGAGCATCTGCCCCCTGGTGGTCAGTGCACATCATAGCTACCACTAGGACGGACCCTTAGCATATTAGCTTTTTATATATATAGATTCTGTCAAGTGGCTATAGAGTTTATAACTGCTTCTTCTTGATCTAGGTGTGTTTTTGAAAACCTGTTGAGCAGTATGAATGTCTACACATCACCTACATCCCCATTGTGAGCCAGTGGTAGTCTGTGGATTTTAGGAACACTTTGGCTGGAGGCTGTCTAGCTCTTCCAAGGGTACTCTTCTTTGGGAATAAACACAATGCTCAAAATAGGGAAAAAGACAGAGAAACAGGATATTGTGATGATGATATAGACTTAAGAGAAAAGAATGGAAGAACATGTAGGAAAGTAAATTTCTCTCAGAAATCAAAATTTTAGTGATGAAGAAATTGTTGGTGATGATGAGAGGAACCTGCTGTTTTCCTAAAAGTAGCACTAATGGATGTGACAGTGAAATGCTTCCTCTTTCTGGTGGCCTTCAGGCTAATAGCTCCTGCTATAGATATGCTGATTAACTGGAGGAATTCTGCTTGAGTCTGGACCAGCCCCTTTATCAGGGAAGGGGTGAGAAAATATACACCATGTAGTGATTGCAGAACCTGCTCAGATTAATGGGGGTTGACCAGGAACAAAGGGGTTTAGAAATTTACCTCTTTTTCTAGGACCCCCTCTTTCAATTGCCAGGCTATCTACAATCCCAACCCACCTATTTGCCTCACCCATCCTACCTTTGATATCAGAAGAAGTGGGGAGTCCTCTTCCCCACTGAGTGCTACTGTGAAATATTCCGAGAAAAGGAATTTTCTGAGATTCACACAGAAGAATGAGTGATTTTTATTTGCATGGAATTAAATCCCTGAGTTTCCAAAATCCCATTTCCTTTAGTCCAGTCATAGAAGAAGTGTAGCTGGGGTTTCAGCAGAGCTAGAAGCAGAGCCAGTGTCCAGAGTTTCCTTTCCATGTTGGAGACAGTCCAGTACAGCGTCAGGCTAGTTGCAGTCCATTAGTCCATTGTGTGCATGTTGGGGGGTGGAGTTGGGGGGGGAGGGCAGGAGGTCTGCATGGCTGTGGGCCACACAGGAGAATACCAGGAAGCCAAGC